ATTTGTTATTGCAAATCTACGTTCCAGATATAAAAGAAAAAATGATAATTATTATTAAACAGGTACATGTAAATTAGCTAAAAACATGCATAAAATTTCAATTCTAACCTTTTGAAAGTGGGGTGCCGTTTGCTTGAAGGACACACTTTTCTGCTTCAGATTTCGTCTGAGGGTACCCAGGGAAAAGAAACTTTCTGGGCTTCGTCGTGTTATCTTCGTCTCCATTTATGATCTCCTCAAACCCAATCACCACATCCACAGTGCTTGTATAAACAAGATGGGGCACACTCTGCTTCACGCAAGCCTCTATTACATTTTTAGTCCCTAGTTTTTAAAAGATGGAGAGCAGTGTTTGTAACAACTTTCTAAAGTTTCAAAATATAGTGTCAGAACAACAAGACATGCCAAGTCACAGATAAAACATTCAAATAAAGAAAACTAAAAATTATAAATAATATAGTTATGCGTGAAAACGGTCAGAATGCGCACAACTCTGTCAGTTGTCATTTCGTCGCACCCCATTCATCCCCAACCCTGTCGCAAGTGACCGCAGTGCGCGAGCGCGCGAAAGAGAGAGACAGAGAAAGAGAAAGGGAGAGGAACATTTTCTTTCCTATCTTTAACTTCCCATGCTAATTACCAGGGTTACCTTTTGGTAGATCTGAAAATTATACTAAGTGTGTGTACCTTTGACATTAATCTGTTGCATGCCCTCTAAATCGGGAAATGTTCCATAACTTATCAACCCCGCTGTATGGATGACAGTATCGACGCCATCGAACGCCTTAAGAAGATCATGCAGAGAGCGCACGTCACCGACAAAGCTTTTAATAGGCTTGCTTTCTGGGTGGTCTGGAATACAAAATGATGCTACAGCTCACAAAACGTGCGTATATTTGAAGTATGTGTCTTGGCGCATAAAGTGTAATCATTTTTTTTTTTGTGATCACTAATAAGAGAATACTACTACAGGTACATGCTGTGCCTTGAGTCGATGTTTAAAGCAACAGGAAAAAAGTAAATAACACGTTACGTCAAATGTTTCCCTTTATTGAGTAAATTTTCATGAAAATAAATTACCTAACTGGTTTAAGTATGGCTTGATATCAAAAACCCTTATTTCTTTGACATCAGGTCTTCGTTCTTGGATGAGTTTGACAATGTGTTGCCCAAGAAACCCTGCCCCTCCTGTTATAAGTATCACACTCTGAGGCTCGACCGCACTGCTTATTTCTCGCATATTGAGCGGTTGTTCACTGTTCTTTAGAACCACACCGGCCGCTGATAATCTATTCAATAGCAATTTAAAAGCACGTGCACTGTTTTTTAAATGTTAAGTTGACTTTGCTTTCTTTTTTCGAGTTTTTGGCGTTTAAAAAATATTATAATATCTGACCCTTTTTCATTTTTTTCGGTATGTTCCATATTGTAAGATTAGAAAGTAAGATCAGATGAAAAATCCTAGTTAAATTTAAGAAAACATAAGGGGAATCCCTTTCAAGGAATATGAAATAAATAAATTAAGATAGGATTTAAAAAAAATAATAAAAAGTAAGTAGTTGTACTGTAGTATGTGAAAGACTCACCTGTAAAACCCGGCAAAGAGTGTCGAGAGCTTGGAAAACATCACAAACTCGGAACTGTTAGGACTTGGAAAGATCTGCGATGACATTTTCACTCGTTGCGTCTGCAACTTCGATCCTCTTCATTGTCACTCCCAGGTATCCAATAAGACGTAAAGAGGATTGTCTAGAGACGTCTAAGCGGCAGATGGCGGGATTAAAAATGGATTTCGCAGCTACAGCAGCTCTTCGAAGACAGAAAAAAGTTTACCCAGTGGGAAGTCTGTGGATATAGTTGGGCGACTTATCTGAGGAATATAGGTTTTATGTAAAAAGTGACCCTGGGCACAGTTCACATTCATCGCAATATCTGAATTATGTAAATGAGAAGTAAAAAGTTGATAACGAATAATAAGCGAAATAAAATAATATGAAGTCATAATGAAGATGAATTGGATAACTAAATTGATCAAAGCTCTAAATAAACCAAGAGAATATAATATATTGAGACGAATAATGTCTGTACGAAACTTTCCTGTGCCTTGTACATGTACATGTATGTGGTACAACTTTTTGGAATATGATAAATGATCAATGTACCAAGAAAATAAGCCACGACCACACAACGCCATTCCCGTTCTTTGAGTGAAAAAGAAATGATACTTTGGAGAGCAAATATCTTCGACTTCTATGCTACCTTTTTTACTGTCAAAGATTATGAAAAATTGTGGCCAATTCAATAAAAAAATGTTTCCGTGCTCCTGTTCACGACTCGTGTGTTGGAGGGAAAGCGAGAGAGAGAGAGAGAGAGAGAGAGGGAGGTGCGCTTATGACCGTCAGATGGCGTTTCTTATGTTTATTTTTTAATGTTTTGAGTTCTTTCAACTTATAGATTATAGTAAAGTAATAATTTTCTTGTAGAAGTATTTGGGTAAGATGAAACTTTCTGGTTTGAAAATAAAACGTTTCATTCTGAAATACAATGACCAGCCGGGCGAATGATCAGCTGTTTTTACCTAAGTTTTGCTCTCCATATAACAATTTCTATTTCTATGATATACGTGTAACATTTGATTTATACGGTATGTACGCTTTTTGGTTTCTAAATTCAGTTTGCTTTTTTAACAAGTGCATGTTTTAATTTTGTTCTGTTGTATGTTACCACGTGTACCTTAACCATTTTAAAACATATACTTTCTGTTTCAACTTCAACGTTCAAACAACATTTGCTACAACTGGGACCCATTAACACAAGTAGGCCTATATATAAACGTTATCAACTTATCAGCATGAATAGCCAGGGCCGTAGCCTCCGGGGGGGGGGGGGGGGGGGGGGGGGGGGGGGGG